GAAGAGCTCAGGCTTCAAGGTATCTGCATGGGACCATCAAACACACACACACACACACACACACACACACACACACACACACACACATCCTGTCCTGCTGATCTGGCCAGCTAACTCCCTGTGTTCTTCGGTTCTCTTCTAGCCTGGCCCTGGCAGCTTAGAGGACTGACAAGCTGTTGGTAGGGGCTTGTCAGCCCTGGTACCAGCTCTGCTGCCCAACTTGTCCTACCCAGCACTAGCAGTTCAGGGAGATGTAGTGCTTTGCTTAGGGGTTGTCTACCCAACTCTGGCTATCTATCTCAGGTGCCAGCAGGCTTTTGCTCCTGAAGGGCTCCAGAGCAAAGTTGTGCAACCTGGAACCGGGGGCTCCATGGCACTGGAAATGGGGTTGGGTTTTATTGTAAGCTGGTGTGCTTGGGTCCTTGGGTCTGCAAGTGCTAGCATAGAGGGTGAGGAAGCAGGGGTGAGTGACATGAGGGACAGTGAGTACAGGTTCAAGGACTTAGGGTTTTTTTCACCTTCTCTTGGATTCTGGGTGTCCCAGACCACAGAGATAGCTGAAGTTACTTTATCTTTATTGCATCATTTCTATTTTGGAGATGTTGAGAGGTTATGCGGATCAGAGAAAATGTCGAGTTCAGCATTTTGTTGCTCACATGGCCCAGACGTCCATTTCTTTTTTAAAATAAGTTTTTAATTGATGTCTTTTTTAATCACCTTAGTTTCCCTGTTTCCCTCCTCTTCCCCGCCAGAGATCCATTCTATATAACAAGTATTATTTTTGTAAAGACAAACAGAAAAAGAGGGGAGAATCAGCATAGTTGATCAATACATTGAAAAAACGTGCAACATTTATGGACCTACCCACTTTGCAGAGGAGTAGGTTGGGAGCATCTTACATCTATGTTCATTTCTTACAGCACAGTAAATGCCATCATATTCATGTGCCACAATCGATGAGCATTTACTTTATTTCTAGGTGTTTGCTATCATAAAAGGTGTTGCTATTAATATTTTGATGTATTTGAGGACTTTCTTCTTATCATTGACCTCCTTGGGGTATATGCCTAGTAGTGGAATCTCTGGGTCAAAGGTAGAAACATTTTAGTCATTTTATTTGCATAAATCCAAATTGTTTTCTGAAATGGTTGTACCATTTCACAGCTCTACCAACAATGCACTAGTGTACCTGTCCTCCCACCATTCCTCTAATATTAATATTGTTTGTTATTAATGTTATGTTTGTTATTAATTATATTAATAATTGTTATCTTGGACAATTTTCTGAATGTGAGGTGAAATCTCAAGATTTCTCTTATTTTTGCATTTCTTTTATTTTTAGTGAACTGGAGTATTCTTTCATGTGGTTGTGGACACTTGGCAATTCTTTTGAGAACCATTTATTCATATCCTTTGACCGCCAATTAAGTGGTGAATGGCTTTTGGTTATATATACACACACATAACACACACATATAATACACACGCATATATAATGCACACATATAATACATATATACACATACATACCTGTATAATGCATGCATATCACACACACAGTTTCTATATCTTGGATACCAAACTCTTATCAGAGAAATCTGATGCAATGGTTGTTGTTTGTTTGTTTTTTCCCATTAAACCACCTCCCTTTATCTTCAGTCCAGTCATTCTGTCCATGCAGAAGCTTTTTGATTTCATGCAATCAGACTTCCCTATTTTCTCTTTCCTAATTGCCTCTATCCCTGGTCTGGTTCAGAATCCATATCTTATCTGTATCTGTGAATCAGATATAATGCTTTTTTTCTAATTTTTTTGTAGTATGATCTTTAATATTCAGAATACAGTCCATTATATTGTATTATTTAATATGGTGTAGGATACATGTGTACTTTCAATTAACAAGAATTCATTAAGCAGTTCCTCCATGCCAGGCACTGTGCTAGGCTCTAGGGATACATATTCAAAGAATAAAACACTTCTTCCTCACAATAAGCCTTCACTCTAATAAGGACACCCGAGTGCACATAGAACACACACAATGTTGGGAAATCTGGGGTTGCCTGAGAGGGAGGACAAGAGCAGTCAGGAGATGGGGAAGGCTTCCTGCAGAAGACCAAGGTGCTTGAGCAGCGTCTTATAGGTGGAGGCAGAGGGGAAGGAGAGAGGGCATTCCAGGCACGGGCCAATGACAAAGCATAGAGATGGGGGTAGAGGGTTGTGTTTGAGGAAAAGAGAGGACAGTTTGGTTGCACTGGAGAGTATGGGAAGGGGAGCCATGCACTGTGAAGCTGAACAGGTAAGTAGAGGTCACGTTGGGTAGGGCTTCAAAAGTGAGACGTTTGGGTCTATTTTAGCTTAGAAGTGATAGGGAGCCGCTGAAGTTGGAGCAGGTGAGTGAAATGGCTGTGCTTAAGGAAAATCACTTTGCCAACAGTGTGTGGAACAGACGAGAGTGAGAAAGAGGGAGACCCATCAGGACGCTGCTGAAATAATCGAGGAGAAAGGGGAAGAGGGTGGGGGAGGGGAGAGAAGGGGTTGGCTGCAGGAGAGGTCGAGGGAGCAGTGGCACGTTTGGCACTGATCGGACACGTGGGACAAAGAGAGTAAGGAGTGTTGGGGAGGACACCGAGGTTATGACCTGGGTCCTGGAAGGGTGCTGTCTTCAGCAGAGACAGGAGCTTTGAAAGAGGGAAGGGTTGGAGGGGTGAGATCGTGAGTTCAGTTTGACATGAGTTGGCAATGTCTCCAGGGCTCTTCTTTGAAACACCCAATAGGCAGATGGCTAAACTTGAGAAAACTGTTTACAATCTGTGGGCGCCTCTTTACAATCTGAGGGTGCTTCCCCTCCTTTCCTGCTCCTCTTAACCCTTGGCATACTGGTCTCCAGTCACATCATTCCATTGAAACTGCTCTCTCCAAAATTACTTAAGATCTTTTTCTAAAAAAAAAAAAAAAAAAAAAAAAAAAAAAAGGGCAGCTAGGTGGCGCAGTGGATAGAGCACTGGCCCTGAAGCCAGGAGGACCTGAGTTCAAATCTGGCCTCAGACCAAAAACTTGACACATACTAGCTGTGTGACCTTGGGCAAGTCACTTAACCCCAATTACCTTACCAAAAAAAAAAAAAAACCCCATTAAAAAAAATCCTTTGCATTTCTAACTCTGAATTCAATCCCTTTCTTCTCCTTCCCCTTCCCTGCATTGAGAAAGCAAGAAAAACAAAACCTGTTACAGAAATATATCATTTAGCACAATTAAAATGGTTCATTTTCCCTTCTACGAACTCCTCTGCTCCTTGTTTGGCCCCGTACTCTGTCATCTCCGGCTATCTGCCCTTTTCCCGTTCATGATGTCTAAATCACATGCCCGTTTGGAACTTGTCTTGGTGTATGGTCTGAGATGCTGGTCTATGCCCCGTTTCTAAGGTCTCTTCATTGCCAAAGCCAATGGCCTTTTCTCGGTGTTCATCTTTCTTGACCTTGTCTCTCACCGTCTTCTCCTGAACACCTCCTCTCTAGGTTTTCGGGACACTCTGCTGCCACCTGTTTGCACACTCCTTTTCACTCTTCTTCCTCCGGGTCACACTCAGTAACCATAGGTGTCCCCTCTTCCCTGGGCCCTCTCCTCTTCTCCCTCTGCACCGTATTGCTTGGAGGTCTCATCAACTCCCTTGAATTCAGTTATCATCTATGCTGATGACTCCCAAATCTACTCAGCCAGCCCTGATTTCTCTCCCAACCTTTAGACTCCCATTTCCAACTCCCTACTGGACATTTTGAAGGGGGCGTCCTCGGATAACTCCTTCCACTCGTCTCTCTTGCCGTAGAGGGCACCACCATCCTCCCAGCCCCTCAGACTAGCTCCAAGATGGCATCCTCAGCTCCTCCCTGCCTCTCGTCCCCCGTATCCAATCTCTTGCCGAGGCCTCCCCTTTGCAGCATCACTAGGCTGCACCCCCTTCTCCCCTCCGAAGCTGCTTCCCCCGGTGCAGACCCTCAACACCTCAGACCTGGACTATCGCAATAGGTGGGGGGCGGGGCTCTGCCTGCCTCAAGTCTCTGCCCGCTCCAGTCCTGCTGCCATTCAGCCACCAAAGTGATTCTCCTAAGCCCACCCGATAAACCGCAGTGGCTTCTGAGATCACGTATGAAATGCTCTGTTTGGCATTCCAAGCCCTTCCTGACCTGGCCCGCTCTACCTTTCCAGTAATCCCCGGCCACGTACTCTTCCATTCCGGTGACACCGGCCTCCGGGCTGTGCCAGGAATGCTGCTCCATCTGCTTGGTCCACGCTCCCTTCTGCCTTGACCCTGCAGCCTCACTACTAGGTCTTTGCGACTTGCTGTAGTTGAAAAAAGCCCCCGCTCCCAGTGGCCGAGTTTCCAGGGCCGGCCTCTCCAAACCAAGTGAGGCGGGGCCGGGGACAGCAGAGAGCAGCGCCCCCCGGTGGGGCCAGCCGGCGCTGACCGTCCACTTGCAGAGCACTCCCTCTGGACAGAAGCCGAGAGGGCTGAGCTCCGATGGACCGCTGCAGGCGGACGCTCTCCCCGGCGGCGCCGATCAAAGCCGCATCCGCTCGCCTGGCCTGAGTGAGCGAGCGCTTTTCCACACCCCGCACCAGAAGGGGGTCTGAGGTGTGTGTGCTTTGCGGGGGGGCACCCAGGAGAGGGTCCAGGCCAAACCCGAGGGGATCGGCGTTGCACGAGCCCCTGTCCGGTCTGCGCTCTGGAGTCCCCCTCCCCTCGCGGAGGCGGGTCCGGGGGCGGCCCCAGCAGCCCCGCCCCGCCGGGCCCCCGCCCCTCCACCCGCGCGCGGGCGGCCACCGCAGCCGCCGCCAGCATCGCTGGTGCCGCAGCTCCCGTCGCCGCCGCCGCCCCGCAGCCGCCCGCCCGTCGGTTCGTCCGGACGCCTGTCGGTGCCAGGCCGGGCCTGGGCGGGGGCCCGGCGGGGGGCGGGAGGCCGGGCCGGGCCGCGGGGTGGAGGGCAGCGGGGCCCGAGCCCACCATGCCGCGCGGTGTGGGCGTGGGTGGCTTCTGGGCGCTGCTGTCGTGCGGCCTCGCCGCCCTGTGCGCCCTGAGCCTGCTGTCGCCAGCGTGGATCGTGCCGCACGCTCCCCGGGGCCCCACGACGGCCCCCCCGCCGGTCCCCCCGCCGCCTCTGGGCCTGCTGGGACCCTGCCTGGCCCCCGCCCCGCGGCCGTGCGCCCCCTTCGCCCTCGGGGGCCTGCGCAGCTTCGGCGACATCCCAGCCAGCGCCTGGCAGGTAGGTCACACCCCGTGTTCTGCCTCGTCCCAGCCGGGGTGGCCCGGGGGTCCTCCCCGGGGGTCCTCCCGCCCTGCCCTGACGGCCCCGGGAGCGGCCCTCCAGCGCCGGCCCACCGAGTCGTTTCGCCGCCGCCCTCACCTCCCAGCCGCCGGTCTGCGAGCACGCACACACTCACGCTCACACGGGCACACACGTGCGTGCACTCACGCTTGAGCTCACCCTCAGGCACACACGCGCATCACCCAGACCGTTCTGCTAGTCGGGTGCTGGAAAAAGCCTGGGCTTTCTGGCGGGCACAGGGTGACCCCCTGAGGGAAGAAGGAGTACCCACAGAGCCCAGGGAGAGCTGGGTGCCCATCCCGGCCCTGCTGCTGCCGCCTCCTCGGGCCAGCTTGGGCGGGACCTTTCTTCTCCCTGGCCTGCCTCAGTTTCCTCTCTGCAGCACGCAGGGGCAGCTCTGGTCCAGCCCTCCTTACATGTTTGCCTGGTTGAGGGGAGGAAGAGGTTCTTATCCAGGAGAGACCAGGGCAGGTCAGGGGTCATTGGGATTAGGGGAGCATGGGTTCCATGCCCAGCCCGGCCCCCTGCCCCTGGTGGAGACTTCTTGGGGACACACGGGGAGGGGTTCCTTTCTGGGCAGGGCTGAGCCCCAAGGGAGCCGACTGTGAGTGCCCTGGTGCTGGGCACTAGGTAGGGGCATCCTGGCTGAGTTTGCACTCTCTGGCTCTTCCTGCTGAGCTGTGAACTTATTGGCCACGGAGGGAAGGCCTGCCACCCCCCACCCCGCCCATATTGGACGCTTCTCTTAAGGGGAGGACTGTGTGAGGGGGG